AAATTTTGACGTTAGAGAAGGAAAATACTTGTTTTCAAATTTAAAAAGAATTTTAATTAATTTTTGCTATTTTCAAATTTTGGAAAAGTTTTTTAAGGAATTTAGCTCCGTATAGAATGCAGAAATAAGAAAAAAGAAAGTATACCAATGGTGATTATTACAAATCTATAAATATAAATTTGTAATCTTTGTTTGTCTGTCTGTTTGTTTGTCCGATCATAACTCAATAGCCCCTGGACCGATTAGCCTCAAATTTTGATTGGACAACTTGGGAGACCAACGGAAATGTTCTTAGCATGGTTTTGAGATTCTAAGTTGAATATGTCGACTTCAGTGATGAAAGCGAAAAATTAGTTCAATTGCGGGTAAACGCGGGGCCCTGTTACATTTTCTATAATACTTTTGGCATAATTAAACTTGCCATAAACACGTTTGCCATAAGTAACACTTACCATAAATTACACTTGCCATAAGTTACAGTTGCCATAACGGTTACATTTGCCATTATTACAAATAATCATGGTTATAATTAACATCCATACATTTTTTTTATTGAACAACTACAATTATAACTTTTGTGACTACAATTAACAAATCTAAGTGAGGGACAGCTCATGAGCAGTATATAATGTTAAGCTACTGCTCTGTTGGAAAAGTATTGTATTGTCATTGATTCTTCACCAAGCTCTTTCTTCCAGTATTAATGTTCATATCTCTCCTGGCAGCAATGTAAGACAACTAAATTTGTTGGGATTTTTCTTGAGAAAAGGAATTGAGTCTTTGGAACAAAATCAAATATTTAAACCACAATATCTTTTTAACTTGATGTTGTAGACCTTTGATATTTCAAACTCAGATAATTTGATCTAACAGAATTCATAGTTTGAAATATCTAAGGTCTGCAACGTTTGGTTCCAAAGATATAGTGATTAGAAAATCAGAGTTTGTTGCAAAGACTCAATTCCTGTAACGCCTTTATTGAAAAAATAGTTAAATTTATAACTTTGTAAAAGTTAGAAAGTTATGGAAAAAGTAATTATGGCAAGTGTAACTTATGACAAGTGTCACTTATGGCAAAAGTATTTATGGGAAGTGTAATTATGGCAAGTATAATAATGGCAAATGTAACTAATCCAAACGGCGGGAGTAACTTTTAGTAACCTTGGCAACGCTGGGTTCCAACATATTTAGTATAAATTAGGCAAAAAATCAAATTAAAAAAAATACAGAATATCAAAAATAGCCAACTGTTTGATGTTCTTATAGCATTGAAGGAGCTTATTTGCATGTTTTTTAGAGATAAGATTGAGAAAATTACAACACACAACAATACAATGTCTGATAAAATTAATACGAGAGTTTCTATTTGAGGCGAAAACTTTTAAAAAAAGGAACATCTGCATGAATCTTATTTGGGTTAGATCTTAAATTCATTGGCGTGCAAGCTTATCCCCTTAAACTTAATGCCGAAAAGAAATGTAAATATCAAAATGTATTCAAAGCTTTCAAATATAAAGATGTCCATCTCACAAATGGGCTTTTCTCAAAACAATGAATATTAATGGATAAGTTCAAGTCACAATCTCGAAGGTGGAGGGAGGATAAAAATCTTGATTCTGCTAATTATGCTGTAATTAAGATTTATCGCGTTCTATAATAACCTGAAATAAGAAATAAATCATGGAAAAATAACAAAATAAAGTATTTATTTGGTCACACCAAGGTTAGATAATCTAGAAGCAATCCAATGTACTCGAAATTTCGTCTCTATAATATAGATTATAGACATAGATTATAAATCCCCATATGACGTCATCGATTATTGTAATTAGTTACGTCATATGAAGATGTGACTATCCTTTGCTGTGCAAAAGACGTTGGAGCGCCTTACTTATTTTAAAACCAAGAATATTCAAAACGTTATTATTTGTTCAAACTAATCAAACCCAAATCAAAATAATAAACATTGTATTTCAAATTTCAAATTTTTAAATGTTAACTTCCTAGGAAATCAAACTTTGCCTGGAAGCTATATATTCTTTCTCTATAAAAGCCAACCACCTGAATTAAGAATTCTTAAACCAGACTAAAAACTATCCTGTGTTTATCCCGAGTTCCCAATCAAAATTTGTGGCAAATAGATCATGGGGTTTATGAGTTATGAGCGGATATCCAAACAAACAAACAGAAATTACTACTTCATGTATATATATAAAAGTGTATGATCTAATAATAGGACTTTACACGCATCAAGGATTGCGTGAAAATCATGATTCACGATGAGCGCGGCAGAAATTCTGAAATGGGAAAAAATAAAATCAGGTGGTGTGTGCGCGGGTGGCATTGAGAAAAGGGTTGAGAGACATTTCATCATGTTTTTACATTTTAAACCTGGTCCGTCATGATCTTGGTAAGACGAGAGATCCAAGGATCAAATACAGGGTTTTCATGAATAATTGTTGGTCAATTGTCATGTATTGCACTTGAACAATTACTTAATATCAGCTGTTTTTCAGCGAACAATTGCAAATTACAAGTTAAAGCAATTCTAAATGATATTACATTTTAAAATTCTTGTTCCGGAATTTTAGTGTTAACTTTTTTTCCATTTATTAGTCTTTCAGAGCTTTCTTTTCAGGAACAATTTAAACTTGAAGCGGTTGAAAAAAAACATAATTTTAAAGGATGGTTTCTATTTAAATTCGCGCATTTTCAAAAATTAAATACGTCGACATTTTTTCAAGGCAAAATTTTGTTCATTTAAGTTTCCATAAACCTTCCCTGGGGTTATATAAGTTGCCACTGAAAGTTCTCTGAAAATGTTTGAAAGTTTGTTCGTATCTCAAAGATGAAAAAAATTATAAATTAAATGGGCTCCGTTTTTTGGGACGCCTTGTATGTACACAATAAATCAAGGCCGACAAATACATAGAATGATTTTAAAAAATAGGTAGGGGTGACATGTGAGGGGGGAATAATTGTTAGGTGGGATTTTTGGGTCCGTGAATGGACCGANGAGGCAATGAGAATATAAACTACACTTAATTATTATTCATTTATCTTACTGACGTGACTAGACTAGAATAAAGTGAAATAAAATGGGTGTCATAATTGCAGGCCTAGAAATTACCAAAGGGGGTTGAAAATATGAATACGTATCTTTGTAAAATTAAGATTTTGCGAAATTATTCTGAAAATATTTTTTCAATTTTCTAAAATTACTAAATAGCCCTGGTTTGAGTGGTGACTTGAATTGTGAATTTATATTCCGCAAGCCAACACTTTGGATCCTTTCCTCACGTCAAATCAATTATCACATAAAAACCGATCATTTTATTATTTTCAAGATATTTCTAGATAATTTGTGTAGTTTGTCTGTGATGGTGTTTGTCTGTCTGTTTGAGGTTTAAAACTTTAATGCAAGCTACCGAAAAAAATTATTTACAAAAACAAACACTTGGCGAAGTACATCAAATTGTGATCAGAAAAAGAAAAATTTGTTTACTAACTAAGAAAAAAACATTTTTTTTATTAATTTTTAAATTAAAGTTAAAAGAAAATGTTTTAACAAATTACCTAGAAATAGAATTAATCTTTCAGAACCATAAAGTTTCAAGACTGAACATTAAGCAAATTCAATTAATTTCAAAGTTTCCAATTTTTTTAATTAACTTTTTTTTACATTTTTTTCACCGATTATCTTTATCAGCTGTCTTAAAAGATAATCATTTTAATCTGTTTTTGTTTCAGTGTGAAAGTATATCCTTAAAATCGTTGCCTGTTCATGGATGAATGTTTTTTCTTTGAAAATTTATTATATTCAATACTAGCTCAAGGGCCCGGCGTTGCCAGTGGAAAAAAAATATTTAAACAAAAAAAATGTTGAAAAAGATAATTACGAATTTATTTTAGCCTATAACATCCCCCGGCTACCCCTGTGTCCACAACAAGTTTCAGCCCAATCGCTCTATCCGTTTGACCGGCTATAGGCAACATTTATATATACGAATATCTTGTTTTATTATACAGACTGCTGATTTATACTCATAATCAATGGCGGGATTTGTCAGAACTAAGCACGTACGATAAAAAACGATGATTTCTTGAGGTTACAAGAGTCACATGAGGTTACAAGAGCCACATGAGGTTACAAGAGTCACATGAGGTTACAAGAGTCACATGAGGTTACAAGAGTCACATGAGGTTACAAGAGTCACATGAGGTTACAAGAGTCACATGAGGTTACAAGAGTCACATGAGGTTACAAGAGTCACATGAGGTTACAAGAGTCACATGAGGTTACAAGAGTCACATGAGGTTACAAGAGGTCACATGTTGTTACAAGAGGTCACATGAGGTTACAAGAGGTCACATGAGGTTACAAGAGGTCACATGAGGTTACAAGAGGTCACATTAGGTTACATGAGGTCACATGAGGTTACAAGAGTTAGTGCAGTCCCTTAAATTCAGTACTAACAACAATCCAGCCAATCACAGTTCAAAATAATTAACTGGATAATATTTAAAACAATTCATTGTATTTAAATTATTCAAATTTTGAACTTCTTCTGGTTTAAAAGAAATTTAATTCAGGAGATTCTTGATTGTAAAAAAGATTTTGTTCTCACTAACGAATAATCGTTGGCATTAAAAAATAACGAACATTTCAATCAAACAAATAAACACAAGTTTGGGACACAAGTTATGATTTTAGATAGTTCAATGAAAAAACAAAACAATTATGCAGTATAATTATATTTTCAGCTTTTGATAAAAATATTTGGGTCAGAACCACATCAAATACACACAATATTGTGCATGTGTAATTTATGTTCTCCTACTCACAAATGAATTTTTTACTAAAGCATTTTTAGAAATTTTAATTACTCAACACAGACGTCATTAAAAACTGGCTTATGGCGTAGGCCATCTATATTTAGCTCATAATATCTATCTATCAATAGAACTAGTATCTATCTATCTATCTATCTATCCGCAAAACTTTATCAACCGTGGTAAGCGTTACTAAGAGTTAGTTTTAAAAGTACAGTAGAACAGCAAGGATGGCATTATTGGAAAGATTTAATAGAGTTTCATTGAAAAAGGTAGAACTTACACTTTACACACTTTTAGATATTTTTGGAGTAAATTAAAGAAATATTAACTTGATATTACAATTATTATTATTATTATTGTTATTATTATATATTATTATCAAGTATTATTATTATTATAATTATTTTATTGCAGAGGCCCCGGTTTTCCTCTATAATGGGCTGTGTGAATGGAAAGAGTTTTCTGACTGACGAGGATATCGTCTTCATTGCTCGTAATACAGCAATGGATCAGGAACAGGTTGAGGTAAGACTACAGTTATCGCAAAATGGACTGCTTGCGATTTTTTATTTTCGATCATTTTTTTTAATGCAAATTTTCAGATATTTCGTATAAGTTGTCTTTTATTTTCATGGGAATTCAAACGTTTTTCCTTTATTGAAAAGTGTTTAATTGTCAGAATTTCTTTGTGTACGTATGCAGTTATTTCCGCAAGCAAGAGAAACCACGATCGAACATTATCAATTTAAACAGAGAAATGCAAGTATTTCTCATTCATTCTTGTTTATATGAAGATTTACAAGATACGTTGTGAATTAAACATCTTGAGCAAAAATATTTTGAAACTTTTATTTTTTAAAGATTTCTGAAGAAAATATTATCTATGTAATAATAATTCTAATCTTATTCCGTGTTCTTCTGTATTAGTAGAAATCCTTCTTTTCTTTAAATTAAAAATCTAATTTATTTCCTGTCAGAAATTCATTCATTTATCAATTTATATCACTGTCATCTCCAAATTTCAAATTCATTTAATTTCATTTTAATTATCTATCTATCAAACTATTTATTTGGTTCGAAATCTGCAAAACCAAAATTTTCTTAATCATGAAGATGGTAATAAATTGTTAAATCAATTTAAGTGAATAAGCGCTGAATTTGTAAATAAAAGTGTGACAATGGTCGTGTTTCATGCTCAAGGTCTATTTAAAATCATAACTTTAGTCTAAAGTCGTCTTTCGTTTCCACAATTTATGGATTTCACAGTGTGCTACAACATGAAAAGTAGTTAACATATTTTTGAATGCATTGGATATTACATGCAGTAAATACCCTACTCCATAAACTGCTCTAGAACATGTATCTATCCAGGTACAACACAGACATTAGCAAATAATCTATCAATGCCTCAACCAGGACACGATCCACACGGCTACAATCCCGTGATCTATCAACGCCACTACCAGGGGGCGCGATCTTGTTAGCTATAAATGTCAACACGGACACTAGCAATGATTGATCAATGCCTCAACAGGACACAATCCATTGGCTACAATTCCATGAACTATCAATGCCACTACCACTGTGAGCCATCTTGCTAGCTATTATTGTCAACACGGACACTAGCAATAATTGATTAATGCCTCAACCAGGACACGATCCATTGGCTACAATTCCATGAACTGTCAACGCCACTACCACTGTGAGCGATCTCATAAACTATCAATGTCTCATCTAGGACACAACCCTCAACCTGTTTATCAAAACAGGGAATGATTACTTTCTCGTAGTAAACTGTACGGAGTCTCTATTTCAACTGATGTATTTTAGGTTTATATGTTACAAGTTAAAGTTGATAGATGTAATTACAATTCCTAAGTCGTTATTGAGACAATCATGTTACATATTTACAGCACAGTTAAAATAGACGCAATTAGGATGCACGTCATTAAATATATATCACATGATTAAGCTAATCATGCTACGTATTCATTTGAAGCTCAGTTCAAATGAATAATGGGTTTTACGTAGAAGTTTAGAAACGTAGATAGTTAGTAATGTACAACGTAGTTCAGGTTTACAGAATATTGTGTTACCCGATATTTATCATATACATACGATATTCTTACCAAAATTTTTAGTTTTATTGATTTAATTGAATTATTTTAGATTCGCTACCAGAACTTTCTATCCAAACACCCAGACGGTAGAATCTCAAGGAAATCCTTTCATGATATGATGAAGGTTGGTTCTTCGTAGATATATAGAAAGATAGATAAATAGATGGATAGACAGATAGATAGGTAGATAGATATAGATAGATAGATAGATAGATAGATAGATAAAAGCTTAACGTTAAGTTAGATAAATATAAATAAATGTATCACGGTGGACTAAATATTTTTCTTCTTCTAAAAAGTTTTTAAATAAAAGAAGCTATGATGGAAAAAATAACAGATTACTTAAGTTTAATGTGCCCCGACCCTCATCCCTTTTACTTCCTCCCCCACCTTCCTTTCTTTCACTTTTTAATACCCTCTTTAAGCACTCCCCTCCTCTTCTTTGATAACCCCCTATTAAACACGCCCCACCCTCCCCCCTTCTTGAATGCAGTGTTCGTGCATATAAATAAGGCTGAAAAAGGTCTGATGACACACATTATATATAGACTATCAACAGGATCCTTATTCATAACTTTAAACTTACCTCCCTAGGCATATAATTAAAAAAATGCAACGAGTTTGTTTGTAGCCTAATTTTTTAAAGGAGTAATTGCAAAATATAGCTGAATTTTAGCCTGAGAGCGTGCACATCTTGGTTTTTGCAGTGTTGCAAAGCCAAAAGGGTTTAAAAACTAGAATCTAAGAAGAGTAATCATTTTTTTGAATTAACAAAAAAATTCTATATTTTTGTAGGAATGCTACCCTGGAACAGATACTGAGAAACTGGAAAAACATATATTCCGAATGTACGATACTAACGATGTAAGTAAAAATATCGTTCAAACCATTTTCTGCAGAATCCATAGTTTAAAGAGACTGTGTCGACTTAGTTATAGATGTTTCTTAATTTTCAAAGTTACTTGGCCGATTCACAACGGTACTCTGTCAACCTTTATACGGTAAAAAATGATGGAGATTTCCTTGTTGATTAATCTAAAATTGATAATTTTCAATTACGGTAGGAGTCAAGAAAGAAAATTGACCAACTTGTTCTTTGAGAAAGAAAGGAAAAATTTGATATTTCATCTACATTGATATTTCATATCAAGAGAGGATCAATTGAAATTACGGCTACAGTCTCTTTAAGTTAAAACAAATATAAGTCCAGTTTTACAGAATCCCAAAATATAAATATAAAAAACCTTTTTCTGTATTTTCCATTTCATCAAATAAGGCAAAAGGCTTAAAATAAAAATACAAAAATTGCAATTAAACTAAAACTCTTTTGAAGTTTAGAAAAATCGAATGTTTAAGAGAGAAAAATAACGACGCAGCAATTTTATTTTCGCTGATTAATGATTTAGAATTTTGTTTGCTTTGTTTCCATCCTTGCAGGTGTACCTTAATATTTTTATTGATAAGGGAAATAAAAAATATTATAAATAGCTAATTAGATTTATTACAAAATAGACCAAATCTATACTATAATTTATTGCTAATATTGGACTCTGGAATTATATTTTTAAGTTTACTAAGAGCCTTTGAATATAAAACTAAAAAACTTATTAATAAAATAAACACATATTTAAAAGTTTCCGTTGAAGTACAATTCATTTTTAAACAATCAAACATCAAATATATCTATACATCCTGTAGTAATTTCATGTTTGTCTGTCTGTTTGGATGTATAATCATAACTCAAGAACACTATGACCAATTTGCCTCACATTTTTATTGGGGAACTCGGTATCAACCTAGACGGGACAATACGCTAAATGATAGTAATACGTTCAAACCTTTTAATGAAAAAATGTTTTTGTTGTTATTTTTATCAATATGAAAACAATTAAAAATCTATTTATTTTAGGACGGACATATTGATTTCCGTGAATTTATGATTGTCCTCTACGTCCTATCTAATGGGTCCCCAGAAGAAAACTTAAAACAGATATTCAGGTACATACAGTCTCTTACTTTCCCGGTTGAGATAATTTTTTCGAGTTAAGTCATTTTTTTTACTTCAAATATTTGTATTTTTTTTGTTGATCTAAAACTTTGTGTCCCTTTTGTAAACTTATTCCTTGATACATAATTTTAATGCGTAGGTTCATTTTAAGTTTCGAATATTTGATCGTTAAATACTTTTATATTTCAGTAAAATGTGTAAATACTCATATAATGGATTATTATGTATTTTATTGTTATGTAAAATCAACAATTTAACACTTGTTCTTATACTGACGTATATTATACAGATATTATTCATGAAAATTTTATTTTTTATTTTAAAATTTTAAAATCATATTTTAGGATAACTTTAATAAATCCGCGAAATAAATTTCTTTAGATAGAAAACTATAGAAATATATCTCTTTCATTTAAAGGGTAGCATTGTGATTAATTAATTGAGCGTGCATCAGACATGCCACTTTATTAATGTAAGGTTCCTTAAAACTTACAGTCACATTTACGTCATTTCGTTGCAGAGTCTTTGATATAAACAACGATGGATCGATCAGCTTGAAGGAACTGAAGAGGATTGTTAAAGATCTCTTTCATCTGATCAATGAGGAGAATGTTGATCAAGCTAGCCATGATGTTCTAGCTAACTCAGGTAGATAAATATAAATAAATGTATCACGGTGGACTAAGCCAGTGGTGTCGGTCAAATAGGCCTAGGATTAGGCCGGGTACTGTAAAAAGTCTGAACGCGCCCTGGGAATTGTCATAGTTAGCCCTCGCACGGGACTATGCCAAGAAAATTGACCCCTGTAGTATGTTAGTCTGGTTAGGGCGACGTACTGTACCATAGGATTGGGTAAGTACACGCTGTTATATAGAAAGATAGATATAGATAAAAATATATGTAGATAGTTAGATATTTAAATAGATGGATAGGAGATTGATGCCGCAAACATAACCTGCAATCTGCATTTTCTTAGAATCTGAAAGAAAAACTGAATGTTTCCGGGAACCCGGAAACATAGGTTGGAACTTTGGTTAATTTTCTTTTGAGTGGAAACTTTTAATTTTAACTGATTGAGTTCTAATCCCGCTAAGCCAAAATCTTTAAATCTCTTATTGGCAAATTGAGCAGATTTTTTTGTAACTAGCTTCTGATTGGTTTCACTTTCAGAGATGTTAAAAGAGGATTTACTTAGTTTTCGGACTTCAATAGAAACACTTTAGAGCTTTCTGAAAAGTTAGATTAAAAAAGTTTTGACCTTAAACGCAAAAAATATTTCCTTCATCAAACAAGAGTATTGAAATTGAGGTTATTAATACGAAAATAGAAAATAAATGCATTTTAAAGAGACTTAAAGACGTAAATTTCCGTGATCCTCAATGCTAAAATGGCAAAAACCGATTCACAACGATACCCTTGAAACCTTTATCTGATCTATATTATGGAAGATATTGGCGTTTTTCTGGGTCTGAAAGTGTTTAATCCATTCCATACGTTCTCCTGCAGTAGAAATGCACAAGTCACTTTTGTAGAGAAACTTCAAGTAAAAATAATCAGTTTTCAAAATTATAAAAATTGATATTTAATTCATCCTTGATCAAACAAAGCTTTTAAGGGTAGCAATAGGAATCGGGCATTGCCATCTTCGCATGCAGGGTCCCTTGAAATTAAGCTAACAATCCCTTTAAAACTGAAAAATAAATAAATTGATAAATATATTTCTAGCTTTCTCTGAAATGGATGAGAACAAGGATGGAGAAATAACTCAAGAGGAATTTATTGAGGTGAATATTAAATTAAATATTCAATTAACTATCAAATTAAATATTTTACAAACATTTTCGGTATTTTACTTTTTTACTTTCAAAGCGATACAATTTTTATCAATGGTGTGCTTTGAAGATATTTAGACATTTTGAATCAAATTCTAAATACTTTCGTTTATATTCGTTATTTTCATAAAATTAAACGAACCTCCTTGAGAGACCAAACAATTCAACAAAAAAAACGGTTTTAGAATGCTTGTGAGGTAACAAAGTATGTCACTGTTAACGTCCGTACAGAAACATTGGATAACAATCAAAGTACCACAAATCTATCTTTGATAACTTTGTGGGGGGAGGGGGGGATAAATAAAATTTTGTCAAATTACTTATATCAGTGTTTTTTACTTTGATAAAACGCAAAATGTAAAACTTTTAACCATATTTTTCTTTTCCTTTGTCTGATCAAACATAAAAAACCTGTTTTTTCTCTAACACATTTTTTTAGAAAAACAATTTTACTTTGGAAAATAAATATATTGTGCAACTAACTTTTCCTTATTATCAATGGCGTCATGGTTAATTTTCATTATTGTCCGAGTGGCAGAAAATTGTTATTATTCTTGTGTTTTTTCCGTTTTCACCTAATATTAACCAATTAATGTGTTTTCATTATTAATATCGAGCATTTAACGATTTTTCTTTATTTGAAGTATATTTGCCTTTATTTAACCTTCTTAAAGTGGAAATAAATTTAAAATTCTTAATAAAACCAAGAGTTAGAAGTGAATTTTAATATTTTGCGTTAAAAATATCTTTTTTGTTTCATTAAAAAAATCGTCATTAAATTCTTTACATAAAGTTTATGATCGAGGTTGCGTGAATTATTGAGTTTAATATTTACTTTAATCAAAACCAATGTGCGTAGAAATAATGTTGCCTGTCATCCAACTTTTGATGCTAAATAAGCGTTTTTTTTATTATATTATATATTTATGAATATAAGCCATTTTTATTGAATGTAAGCCATTTTTTGCTAAAATTAAGCCATTTTGGGTTAAATATAAGCCATTTTGGGTTGAATATAACCCATTTTTTGTCGTTTTTTTTAGTGGCATCCAACTTTTATAATGTACTGTACCCCATCTCCCTTCCTTGGTTTTACACACATTTATCACAACAAATGTTTATAGGGTGAGTAAAAATAAACTTGTTCAGGCATGTATGCTGCAGAAGAAGTTCTCGACCATGCTCACACTAAGAATAATCGACATTTTCGTCGCCGAATGACAGCAGAAGGACGGGTAGGTGTATTACTGTCATGGGCGTAAAGAGAATATATCACGCAACGTACATTCTTCGTCTTATATATAAAATCAATGAAGACGACTTTTGATTGGATTTTGAAAAAAGATTGTTGGATATCAAAACTTAAATAGAAGACTCGTTTTCATTGAAGTTCTATAAAAGACGATCTACCAATGTATATAAAACGGTATTAACCTTCCAAAGCACCAAATGTATTTTTGCAGTAATATTGCACAAAACATACGTATTAGTGATCCATAAAAAGACGTTTTTTGAAGTCGATTAACAAATATAAAAAATCGAAATGACAAAAAACTAAATTTTTCTTTTTTTAGGTCGACTTCAACCTCTCGAAGATCGTCTCGGTTGTCTGGCGAATCATCTAAATCTTCTAAATCTTAAACTATTGCATTGTCAATATGTACATTCTGATTTCACAGTGGTCATCCCTGCAAGCTCAAAGTGAAACTATTCCAGTAATTCTGTCGAAATTTTTGATTGAAAAAGTGTTTTACGTTGAAAAAAAAGGCTTTGATATTCTTAATATATCCCTTATTGTTTACAATTATAAAAATATTGATTTTTCAGAAATTGAAACCGGTGTTAGTTAGTTTTTTAAGTGTTTCTAGTCATTCACTGTAAAATATTAGCACATCTTTGAGAATTAACTATTTGTATTTTTTTCCCAAACCTTTAAGCTTAATATAAATATGTATTCCAAACAATCAACAGAGTAAACTGTTTTTAATGCGCGCATAAAAGAACTAAAAAATCGCCACAAAATGTTCTTAATCCCTTTACCATAAAGTCAAAGTTTCAAATATTCACGAATTACCCCATCAGGTTGTAAAGATATAGGAATTATAAATTAGAGCTTGTTGCAAATAATCAGTTTTTTTGTATCTCAAATGAATCGAGTCTCTGTCATAAATTTGAATTAACTGACCCCGATATCTTTGCTGCCTGATGATGTAAATCTTTCATATTTTTAATTGTTTGATTATTTGATCTTACATAATTCATAGTATGAAATATCAGATTTAGAGATTAGTAAATCAGAGTTTGTGACGATCACTCAATTTCTTTTTGACAAAAACAGATAATGTAATAACAAAAATCGAAACTGAAAAATGATATACATTTTAAAATATTCCCTTTCTCTGAAAATATTTTGGCTCGGAGGAATGAACACTTTAAGATAATCATGTTCAAGAGAGCTGGTCATATCTATTTTTTATTGCGACCCCCCTACCGTAACAGCGCGTCCACCCTACCTTAACTGTGCGTACACCCTACCTTATCTGTGCGTCAACCCTACCTTATTTGTGCCAACAATATTAAAAGCGACAATTTTTGGCGATACAATGTTCTAAACAAATTGAAGCATTAAAAACTTTTGAAACTATGATAATTTTGCATCAATTGAAATGATTTCTTGCAAAAAATTAAAGTTAATAAAATAAAATAAAATATTAAAATGTCTTCTTATTTTTTAAATTTCGCGAAAGTGAAATGGGTTTAATTTTCACCTAGATTAGATTTTTATCATTTATAACTTTTTAAACTTTCAATTTGGGACATTTTTAGCCATTACCTTACGAAAACCTTGACATTTTTTCTATTTTACCTTATGTGCTGAGAAAATAAAAATTTGAACTACCATGTAAAGTTGCATAACAAAAATTGTTATTTTTAAAATAACTTTTAACCAAGTTAATATGTATATTATTATATATTATCTATTTTGGGATATTATAATTCGTTTTCCTACAATTTCAAATATATTAAATGTTAATTTTTTTATCAGAGATATTTGAGAAGTAATTAGAAATGTCGTCTTCCAGAAACTTTGTGTTTAGGGAACTGCAAGCGTAAATTAAAGGAGGACATCACTTATTTACCTTAAACCTTAAACAGATCAAGGACCACTTTTCCTTATTTATCTACAAAATCACTTCAAATTTGGTATGCCTTTTTATCGTTAAAGAATATTATAATATATTCTTTCTATTATAGGGGTAGAATATAAATATGCTCATTCGAATTTTTAAAAAACCCCGTCGTTTGAATATAGAATATTCTAGATTTTTCAAGAAAGAATTGTGACCTCATCCGCGTTGAGTTTACACAGTACGCTAGCGTACACTCCAATTTCACTTTTTTACAAAGCATTTTAAAGGTATACACACTGAGTTCACCGTCCTTAACGATCAGTCTAAGTTTTGAAGAATTTTGTTGCTTGCTATACCCACATACAAATACAATTCAAAAACAGGTGTTTTATTATTTTCTTATCTTTCTATAATAAGGTATGAAATGTAACAACTAATCTAAAATTTGTTTCATCTAGGGTTGTATAAATTTAGATGAAATTCTGAAAGAAGAGTTTTTTTATCGAAATTTTTCAATAGTATTTTGAGCTCTCATTCAAAATCGGTCAACAAAATTAACTATAATATTTAAAATACAGGATGTCCCACGAATCATGCCAGTAGCAAGACGACTTGAACTTTTTCTTTGACATTGACTTTATTCGTGACATTAAGTCTTCAAGCTACTTTTACATGTATTGCTCATGAAACAAAAATAACAAAATTCTCTTAGTCCGGGCATTTCCAAAATGTGGTCTGCCTTAGTACTGTCAATATTAAATGAGATATTAAGAATTTCGTTCAGATTTCAATTTTATTAAATAAAACGAAAATAGTTGAAATCTGAACAAAATTCTACATATCTCCAATAATATTTAAAGCACAAAAAAGGCAGGCCACATTTTGGAAATGCCAATTTTAGGGGTAATTTTTGATGATTTTTAACTCAAAATTTTACTTTTACTATTAGTTTAACGAATAAATGATGAAATTATGTGAAAGATCGAAGACGTCAAATCGTCTTGCCACTGTCATGTTTCGTGGGACACCCTGTACATATTCCAATATTACAAATCTACTTTGAATTTAAGCAATGAAAACTGGATCTGAAGTTATGGTTCATTGAACCTAACCTCTAGTTCAGCTTGATATGGGTTTGCCAACTAATTGGACGAACAGAGCTAGGGACGGATATTTTCCAATAGGACGAACAAAAGGACGAAATACACGCCAATGTAACGAACAGAAGGACAAAATACACGCCAATAGAACGAACAGAAGGACGGAATACACGCCAATAGAACGAACAGAAGGACGGAATACCTGCCATTATTAAGACGAACAGAGGGACGGATTACCCGACAATAGGACAAACAGAAGGACGGATTACCCGCCATTAGGACGAACAGACGGACGGAATACCCGTCAATAGGAGATTTAAGTTAACCTCGCATAATTATACTAAAACCAACTCTATTCAAATGATCTAAATTTAAAACTTTAAAACGTAAACTGACAGTTTACAATTTCAAAATAAGTCGAAAACTTTGCCGTAAAGACAAAAAAATTGTCCTACCGTAGCTTGAAGTGGGCCTGGTGCTTCCATCTTGTGGTGAGTTGGTTAAACTTCTAGGATCTTGCAATGGTTCAAAACTAAACAAAATACAACTGTTAAAAAAATCTTTTTATTTTAAAGCTTCAAGAAATATAGAATGCACAATGCAGCACACATAATTCCAAACTCTTATGAAAAGTTGCATCAATTTTTAAAGCTGAGTAGATTATTAAGTGTCGTAACGCCCTAGCTTTTTATTTTTCTTTACTTATCATTTTTATTTTTTTTTGTAGTCCTTTAACCTTTTATTTTTAAGTACGTGATCGGCAAGATTCTTGTAGTTTTGGCTGGCAACCATTGGATAATTGTGATATTTATTTTAAATATGCTTTTTGTGCATTTTAATAGTTAGAATAATAAAAATTTTCAATTTCCATTTTCATATACTTTCTCTTAAAATATAAATGTTTAAAGACAAATACTTTTTAAAGACCTGGCTTCCCTCCTATCTCTACTAATCAAATATATTTAACTAAAAAGAAAGCCGACATGAAGGTCCAGAAACAGGATTCCCGGAAATGTTGGCTTGCACAAGCACTTAGAGAGGATGCATTTACTTCCGATAGAAAATAGGAGCCAACCAATAATACAAGCAGGTCATATGACCAGATCAAATAATCAGCTTATGGGTATATGACTTGATTAAATAATTAGCTGTTGGTTATATGACCTGATTAAATGATCAGCTGGTGGTCACACTAATAAAATAATCCGCTGCTGGTCACATGACCTGATCAAATAATTAGTTGCTGGTCACATGACCAGAGCTGAAAACTTTAGAATGTGATATCCTTAATCTTGCTCTCTTAATTCATCTGAAGATTAAAAATGAGAGGAGAACAAGCCATATTTAATCTCGAGATTTAATCTGGATATTAAGAAAAAGAGTGGATTAAGCCTTAATCCCGATATCCACCATTCTAAAGTTTTCAGCTCTGATCAAATAATCAGCTGCTGGTCACATGACCTGATCAAATAATCAGCTGCTGGTCACATGACCTGATCAAATAATCAGCTTCTGGTCATATAACCTGAACAATGCTTAAATGCTGGTCACATGACCTAATCAAACAATTTTAAGACCGTCTCGCAAGCTAAGTGTGGAAAATTGTAAATACTTTTATAGAGAAGAAAACTGATTAATGTCTTACATCGTCTTTATAATTAGGTTTTTGTTTACATTTATAATAGTTATTATATTCTCTGAAAACAACATGAATTGAAATAAAATATGAAAAACAAATTGTGATAAAAGGTTTCAGAGTTAAAAAATGAATAAATGAGAAAGAAAAGTTTACACAACACCATATTCATATCAATTAAATAAATTACTTTAATTTAGACATTGGGAGAAGGTAACATTAATGAGAAATTACTGGAACGAATTTGTGACTTCGTAGCTCATTTAGAAAACCAAATTTATGTGGTTGCATATCAGATATTCAAAACTTGTTTGCTCTTCCACAAATAGCTTCCAGATCTCGTTCTAACATTATCTTATATCTTTCTATCTTTATAATAAAACAAGACAGTCGTGTATATATATATAGCCGGCCAAACGGCGGGACCTATTGGGCTGAAATTTTTTGTGGAAACTTGGGTAGCCGGGGGGTGTCTTAGGCTAAAAAATATTCGAAAGGTTTTTGTAAAAAAAATTAAATTTTTAAAATTTTTTTTATTTTTATTTTTTTCCACGGGCAACGCCGGGGCCTTAAGCTAGTAATCTATATAAGAAAACAAGACACTCGTGTATATATGTTGCGTATAGCCACCAAACGGCTGGACCGAATGGGCTGAAATTTTTTTTTCAAACTTTTTTTCCATGGGCAACCCCGGACCCTCCAGCTAGTCTATATAATAAAACAATACATTCATATATATATATTGCCTGTCGCCGGCCAAACGGCTGGACCGATTGGGCTAAAATTTTTTGCGGACACTCATGGGTAGCCGGGGAGTGTCTTAGGCTAAAAAAATTAGAACATTTTTTTTCTTCAAATTTCTTGTTTTAAAATTTTTTTTTTGTAAGGAATAAATAATGAATTGTCAGATAGGTGGATATATGATATATATAGATATTTTTATGCAAGTGTTTTATAATCTTCAAAATCGACACATTTAAATTAACCAATTTCTCTTTTTTCAAAAACTATTCTATTACATGTTTTTTAATGCATCTTTCAATTTTTATGTATTTATAAAGAAAGAAAGATTTTAAAGATTTTAAAGGATAGATTTTTGTTAGATAGACATTAGACAATGACAAATTGATAAAAAGGAATTGAAAGATAGAAAGATATAAAATAGATATATAGATTTATAGATAAATAGATAGATAGATAGATAGATAGATAGATAGATAGATAGATAGATAGATAGATAGATAGATAGATTTATAGATAAATAGATAATAGATAGATATATAGATAGATAGAACACTAGGAAGCTAGAAATATAGGAAGATATAATATAACGATTTTGATAGATATATAGAAAGAAAAAGTTAGATATCAAGATAAATAGATAGATACATAAAAAGACAGATAGATAGAATGATAGATAGTTTGATAGAATGATAGATAGATAGATAGAATGATAGATAGATAAATAGCTAGATAGATAGATAGATTGATATCCCTGACAGCTGAATAGTACTGTATGTATGGATGCTTGTGCTGGCTGACCGCCAGATATCAGGCGAATATAGAGGAGTAGGGGGAAACCCAGGGATATTGAACACACACACACTTTTATAGACATTTTTTACACACAGTTACTTTTCAGGGGATATTTGTTCCAAAACTAACACTTGGCCTATTTCTAACACTGAGTGTTAGAAATGGACACACATTTAAAGATTGGGTTTATGGGATCCCGGCTCATATTCTGAGTAAAAGTTGATAATAAAACTATAACCAACATTTTATTAAACATGACGAGGACAAAAATTCCCAATTTTGAATTTTTTTTTTAAATCAAGATTAAAATAGGAGTTC